GGAGACAAGGCGTGGTTGTATAATCCCAGGAAGACAAAAGAGAAGTCTCCTAAGTTGTCTTCTCCATGGGAAGGCCCATGTGACATAGTGGATCGTCTCTCGGACGTGACTTTCCAAATAAAATGTGGTCGGCGAGGTAAACCAAAGGTGGTGCATGCTAACAGGCTTTGGCAGTATCACGGTCCAGGACATTTCAGTTGGAACGAAGTGAACAATGGAACAAATGACACTGCTGAAGACGTGTCACCTGAAAAAGACACTGTCGAAGAAGAAACTCTACCTGGTTTAGAGAAGGGAAACAGTAAAGCCGTTAATGAAGTTACTACCACTGATGTGACTGTTACCGATAATGGAATATTTCCTGATGGAGCAGATGAACCCCACGTGAAGCAGAAGCCAATGAGACATAGACCAATACATAAGAAGATACGTCTTGTAAAACTAAGAGACTTTGTTGAATTGTAATTTTGTGTTTGTAAATTCTGTACATTTAGTCAAGTTATTGTTAATTATCGGTTTAATGTTAGTGGCTATTGTTCGGGACAAACAATACCAAGGAAGGGGCAGTGTTACGACAGCGGAAGTCATGTGATGCTGGTAAAACGTGATGAGTTTCTAAAAGGATCGTGAAGGCCCGAGTGTTATATACTATTTTAGTATATAAGCCCGGCAAATAAAGCGGAGATATAATTGCAGATAGGGATATATATAGAGACAGATAATCGAGTCAAGTCGTACGTAAAGTGTGTGAATCGTTGTGAATTATAGCGTGTAATTAAGTGAAAGTGACTGTGGAAATTAAGTGTATTGTAAAGTTGTATTGAGAAAGAATAAACTAGTTTTATTTAAGAAAGGACTTTTATCGCTGAAGTTCCTCGGGAAGAATATATATATCGAGAAATTAACAAACGACTAGAGACGTAACATTTGCTTATATTTCACGTGAGTAGTATAACAGGAGACTTTAGACGCTAGATTCGACCTACACTTGTTACAATAAATATATTTTTTGCCAGGATATTATATGCAGTCGTGGGTAAGACTCACAAGCCACCAATTGAAGGAAGTTTATGTAAAGAACAAAGAAACTACTCAGGAACTAGATAACAAGAAACATATTTAAATGAACAAATTTAAAATAGTAACATCTACTTTATCCTCTCTAACATTTGAATCTCCCATTGCCAGTTCTTTTGATATACTTATTAACATCATTGTGATACTCAGCACATCATTAAGTAACATAACTCTTACTGATGTACTTTGTACTAGTTTCTAAACGAAGTAGAGAAGGCATTTAAACTTATTTGCAGTTTGATAGGTGAAGGTTCTCTACAGATGCAAAGACTCAAAGAATTTGCTGAAGAATGGAAGAACTCTCTCTCTCTTGCAGACTAGAAATCATGGAGTTTTATACTTATCAAACAGGGTATTGGCATTGTTCTAGGCAGAACCAAAACCGTAACTAGGCACGTGGTTCCTGGGCTCGGATTTGCATTTCTCACGTACTACTATGGTGTTGCACCAGCAGTATCAACTCAGATTTTTTTCTAATTTTTCTTAAAGTTTGCCTCATCCTTATCTATATCTCTGACATGTCTTGAATCTAGGCTGATTAACCTCCTCTCTGTATGTATTCCCTTGCAACCACTCCACTCTGTAGGGCTCAAGTTTAATGTTTTGATTTCATTATCTTCTTATCTCATGCTTAGAGCAAGTTCTTGAAATGTTCACAAAAACCTAAATAACGTGATAATTTAAATTAGCAATTTCAATTATTTGTTAGCAACACTGGGTTTCACGGTGGTTATAGCGTTTGACTATCACGTAGAAGCTTTGAGTCCAAATCTCAGTCCAGTCGGGATTTTATTTTAAATCTTTTTATCATTTTATTTATTATTTTTATCATATTTATCAAAAGGGCCTGGCACGGCTAGGTTGTTAGAGCACTCAACACGCAATCTGCGAGATGGGGAATCAAATCCCTGTCTCATCAAACATGCTCGCCCTTTAAGCCGTGGGGGCGTTATAATGTGTTGGTCAATCCGACTATTCGTTGGCGATGGGTGGTGGTAACTAGCTTCCTTCCCTCTAGTCATTCACTGCTAAATTAAGGACGGCTAATGCAGGTAGCCCTCCAATTTACAACAAGCAAACAGCCCCCAAAATTATACCCCTATGGAACTCTTCTCCAGGTAGCCACATCCGACAAATTCTTGTGTCTAACTTACGACTATAAATAGGATTAAACACATAAATGATATTAGAAACAAAATCTGGCAAAGGACGAATTACGTACGACGTCTGACTGGCAACAATAGAAAACATACTTAAAATCTGTAAAACTTGCGTCCAGTGGTAGAGTATGCCTGCCCAACATGGTTAAATGTAACCAAAACACATACAAAAGTTACAGACAATACAAAATTCAATAATCACTAAAACATATAGAGTTCATAGATAGATACACAAACACAACCTTCTTTCACAAGCATCCCCATGTTGTCAAACAAACTTCAAAAGAAATCAATAGATTATTTTTTGCAAAAATTTTAACAAAAAGGAATTATTAAGAACATTGGGAAACACTTTCGTTCATGATGAAAATAAACCTAAGTACCTTTCACCACTTAATCTAGTAAACTCCTTATGTAATCTAAGAACACCTACTACTGGGCAAACGAGTAGCTAACTATAGGGTTGATTGTATTTCAAAAGTGTTTATTTATGTGAAAATAGAATTAGTGCTACATGTTTTCCATTGTCAGGGTTTTATGTATACGTGAGATACTTATTCTTCTGGTTCTACAGTAGGTTTCTGTGATTTGTTGGCGATAAATTCAACAATAAATGGACAGCACACACTTCACTTGCTTTAAAATAATATATTCAAAACAAGTCAAACTATATACAAAAATTCTTTACACTATGGATATCACAGTTGTATCTCAAACTCTAAATAATTCTATTTTCTTGTCAAAACCACTTAAACTGATTCAATTACTGTAGAATCTAATTGACAAGACGAATTATTTTTCACTACTCATCACAATAGTATCAGTGGATAATTCACTTATGCTACCTCATGGGTTACCACAGTTGTATCCTGAACTTCAAATAATTGTCTCCTTTTCATCAAAGTCCACACAAACAGGTTCAATTACTTTAGAACACCCTTTGACAAGACAATTTACTCTCCTTATCTCTATTAAACTGTGAAACTCTCTTTTGCTAACTAATTTTCTGACTGAACTGCACTTGACTTGCGCTCGCTTGGTGGCCTATATTTATATGTTGTTTATTGAGGCTTCGAACTTTCTCTAAATTATGTGAGCGATTTTATAATGCAACAATACTCAGTTAAGGTAACGATAAAAATACCGAAGATTCGAGTAACGTGACGTCAACAATATTAGTAAAGCCTAAACAACAGTGTAATTGCAAACGCAAAGTACAGCTCGTACAAAGTTACGTAACGAAATTTGTCACAACTAACACTTTTAAAACAATCCATATTCAACACTCCTGTCTTAAAAATCAAACAATCATTAACTATTAAGTAACAAAATAATAGCATTTACATTAAACAGTGTTGTATATCCAACATCCATTGATGTTTATGTGAGCAAAACTGTTGACAATGAATGAAAGAGAAGTACGTTTGGGAAACTCGAAAACCTACATTGTACATTCATGAACAGGGTCACTCGTGCGTGGGAATGAACTATTGTAATGCGCATGCAGTGGCTATATGATGTTACATCGGGTTTTCCTAACTACCGGACTGTATTCTACTGAAGAATTTATGTGGGCTTTCCCCACGATACTCATTAATCAAATCAATAACCCAGGAGGGAGATAGAGGTCCAGGGTGTACCTGATCCACCTAGGTCGCATGACCAAAACAACGATTAATAAAACACACTACGA